TTGCACAGCCCATTATTTTTCATGAAAGTTTTCACTTTCAACCAAAACTAAATTTCCTGGAGTACTGGAAGACAACATAATGAAAAGATGACTTTATAATATCAATTATCATTCTATATGGTGTAAGTGAGGGTTTTTAAATTACTTGAGCCAAAAATGCTTATATATTTTCCTTTTCTTCGATAAGAATTACTCCCATGTCTTTAAAATGACCAACTACAAACCCAAGATTACTGATTTGGTTACAGATCAAAGACTGTACTGTACTCAACAGACTTTATAACCGGTAGTTTCATTCGTACCTCCATGCATATACAAAGGATAAAAATCGAAAGCAACTATAGTTGCATGTGAACCCTCTGGCTAAAAATCTGGGCCAGTTATAGAACAGAAAATGGAGTACTTCTAACCATTTGCTGATATCACTTGTCACAAAATTATTTTGTGAACAATTTGTTTCTGTAAGGAGTGCCACACATCTGCTGTCAATAAAAAAACAAGTAAAGAATGCAAGAGATACTGATTCTGGAAACTACACATTTTATCATTAAGAGAAGAGCTTAAGAGCAGGAAATGTTTGATTGTCACAGCCAGTCTGCATGCTGTTATGGCTCATATGAGCAACTAAGTTTATGTGCTATCAGGCAAAAATGTTTGGAGACCACTCCTTTAAAAAATCAAAAGGTTCCAGATTGGTTACAAACAAGTTAATGGAGTCATCAAAGTTTACACACATACAGTATACTCTTGACTATTTGTGTGTGGTTTATATCCAGTTTTTGGCTTCTGTCATGTGCCTTTTTAGGAAAATCTGCAGTTCTGTGCATGAAACAACACAAAAACCCCCTTGCCAGACTTTCAGGAAATTTGATATTTAGTATTTTACGGAGAGCTGTCAAGTGATCAGACTACTGAATGTGATGGGTTTCTGCACTCAGGTGTAACTAAATATTTATTGAATTAAAAAATGTTTCAAACAGATATTGTAGAGAAAAATGAAACAAATTTCATGTTCAATATGGTTGTTCTCTCGAGTCTCATGGTTTTTCAGATAGCTGAACAAACTAGCATTTACCAGTTATTTTGTACACCCTTCATTAGCACAGATAATCAGGAGTATACTATAAGAGAATACACAATTTACAAATCCATTGCATATTGCAATGTCTGTCCAAATTCACAATTACAGCATGGCTTGAAAAGTAATTGGTTTTTGTATAGTGAGTAAAAGCCAGTTTTGGTAAATAGATACGCCACATTTTGTCAAAAAATTCTTTTAGTAATATATATTTACAAAATAATTATATTTATAATTTTTAAATAGCATATATATATATATATTTTATCATAAAACTGTTCTACTAGGAAACATGGATAATATGTACAGAAATAATGTTTTCTCTTATTTATATGTATAAAATTCTACATTCAACAACATGTCTTCTCAGTATTTACTGCAAGTATATTTTTCTGTACAAATATGAAAATGAAGCCATTATCAGGCATAAATTTTACAAAACCTTGCATGCATATATTTCTGTGTTATTTATTTAAAAGTTCCCACTCAATACTGAAACAGGGAAGTGGTTTTGATAAAAAAACATTTGGCAACTAACGGACTGTATTCCGTAGGAAGTCTTCCTAAGTGGTAGGTGAGGTTAGCATGATTTTCAAAACATAGTCAATAAGAAATATTTTGGCAACAATCTCAAGAAAACAATAACAATAATTATTTACAAAAGACAATCGCAAGACATTCCTGTTTTATAAAATCCAAACAGGAAACATAATTCCAGAATTGTACAGAAAATAATTACATAAGAGATGTGAATAGCAATGTTACAGACCTCAATCAAACAGCATGAACAAATTAATTATACAACTAGCACCATGAGAGTGAGCATTTCAAAGCATTAGCCTGCACTAATGAATCTGATACTTGTAACTTTCCCCAAATCATTTTGAAATGTTAATTAATTTTTTTAATTAATATGATAGTTTTGTTTTATTTGTATTTAGAAGGTCCCCAGTTCAGATCCTGACAGGACATCAACCATCCTGATTAAGGGGGTGGGTTTCCCCATGCACTTAGACCAGTTATTGGTCCATTGTGCATCCCCCTTTAATTTCTACTGTTGCCATACCCTACCGGTACCAGTGCGTGCTATCAGCCCCGTTCAGCCAACGAGATTTGGCCGTCTGTACCTTAATACTTCCCCCATCTACCAGAGGCACTGGAAACTACTTGGGCAGGAAACTTGCCTAATAATTTTGCTCAGAGGTCTCCTAGAGACATGAGGATCTTTTATGTGCTGTAAATCTACGACATGGGACCCACGGCTTAAAGTCCCTCCCGGAGGACTTGTTCCCTGAATTTTTCCGCCCTTAAAAATTCCACGACCTCCGCCAGGTTTGAACCCGCGTACCTTGAGTCATGAGGTGGGAACGTTATCCGTAGACTACGGAGGCCGCTTATAGTAAGAGCTAGCAGTGCCATCATTAAATAAGCTATGAAAAAAGTTCTGCAGATTTAACGATTGTACTTATTTCATACTCTGTACTATGAGCACAGAGATTTTATTGGGCTGCAACATCATAATAACTGAAGACCAACATATATCTGTGTCAGAAAACAATCTTCTGCCTGAAGAAGTGTAAATATTATTAATACTTCTGTTATTACATAGAACATAATGCAAAGGACACTCGTGCTCCATATTTGGATCATCTTGGATACAAATTTCATCTCAGAGACTAGCTATCCTATCCTGATTGAGAATTTTCGTGGTTTTCCTCATTTATTCCAGATGGATGCCTGAATAGTTCAAAATTAAGGTGTTACCAATTCCTTCCATATCCTATCTAATTCCTTATTCAACAGGACAGTGGCCTGCAACAATGGAAGCCAGATGACAGAGGAGTTACACACTTGACAACAGAGATACATTCCAGAACCAGGCAGTGTAATATACGTTAGTCAGATCTGAATGCATCTCTGTCTCTGCTGGCATAGTAATACTCTGTCCTGATCACCTCCCAATTTGACAGCCACTACAATCACACTGAAGCGTAGTTGGTTGAGGCACTGCAAGGTCGTGGGTACGATTCTCAATGTGGTCATTGGATTTTTCAATTTACCTAAGCGTTCCAGCTGCACTATGGTCCTGGGTTTGACTCAGCCTCTAACAGAAATGAGTACCAGGAATCTTCCTGAGGGTAAAGGGCAGCCAGCACATAAGACTTATAACCTCACTGCCATCTGTCAGCGAACTATCTAGAAAATGTGGAAGCCTCAACATCTCACAAACCTATGGGCCTCCACAGCCTGTTACAGGAATATAGCTTTACTTTACATCTGTCATATATAATCACAGCAGCAAATGTAACTGCCACTAATAGAACCAGGAGTAAGAATAAAAAAAAAAAACCTGTACTAATGATCATACAGATACTGTGTTCTGGAATGTGATGTCACTCTGGTTGTTGGTTACTTGGCTGGTTTACTGTTTGACCCAGAAGGTGGAAGTAGTATGTTCCTCCCAAACACTAGTAAACTTCTGCCAGGCTGTACAGCATCACATCCCACAAGACAGTAGTACTCTTTCCACCAAACCTAACATGCTCTATATTTGTATGCAGGCAGTGCCCAGGACACTGACTATCCTCAGTCCCTCCAGGAACATGACAGGATGGTACTGTGAATTCTGTCATGACCACTTCATTCCAAATCCCTTCAAATTCACCATCAGCATACCATTTGACACTATATAGTCTGTGATACTGAAAGTGTCATGAAATAATGTGCTAAAAAGTACTTTTCATAGTCATCATTGTGATAACCCCAAATCCAACATACTAACAGTTGTTTTTATAGCCGTTATAAAACAAAGTTATTTACGCAATGTAAAAAAATAATTCTTTGCAACCATTACCAAATAGATACCACATCCAACATTTTTCTCATGTCAACTGCACTGTTTCTATGTCAGTTCCATTATGTGATCTATTTTGATTGCATTTTTTTCAGTTGACCTAATCCTTCCAGCTGCACTAGGCCCTGGGGTTTACTCAGCCTTTAACAGAAATGAGTACCAGGAATTAATTAAATAATTTTCCTGGGGCGTAAAGCGCGGCTGGCACATAAGGCTGACAACCTTACCGCCATCTTTAAGCCAATTGTCTAGATAATGTGGGACCCTCAACGTCTCACAACCCTATGGGCCTTCACGGCTTGTTACAGGGATAGCTTTACTTTTTTTTTTATAAAGAGAATGTGACAATTACACCATAGTTACAATGATCACTGTGCAATAGCAGAGGTGTTTCATATAATGAATGTCTCTGAAGCAGAGTGGCAGGATGTTAATCAAGTTATCTGAGTGAGAAATATTGTACAGCTAATGTTACATATGTGGCCTTGCAACAGACTGATCATTAGTCCAAGGAGTCCTACCAACCGTCTACAAGATTAAAGTGAAGTGAAATAAAGCATTTCACAGACACCCTATGCTCCAGAGGGAGCAACAGGAATATGTATGAATGAATGTTACATCTACAATGAAAGATCAAGATGATAATTTCTTTCATTATAAATGCACTATATAAACCCGTCACATCACAAAACATTCTGAGTTTCATTTCTTTATCTTTGGTGTAAAATGAAGTTGGGACAGCTGATACCAGCCCTGAAATTCTTCTGAGGACATCTAATTCAATACTAAATTAAGCTGTAAGTGCACAAACTGAGGAGGTGTACAATTTGAACATTTATTGCAGACTAAACTTAAATTATTTTGAGATATGAAGACATTTACCAAAGCTGAAATACATATATCTGAAGACCACTACAGGTCACAGTTAGCCCACCCACACTCTAGAAGAATCTAGTGACTCTCCTTACCATGTTGCTCTGCACAGACGAATGGCATTTGTGGTTAAGTGTTTGCCCTAAATGTTCTCGCAAACAGGCATTTCAACAAATATAATGCATCAACATTAAAGAATGGATAAAATCTATGTTTGGATTTAAATCAATCTCTGTTCTGTTGCAACATTAAAACCTGTGAAGCAAAATTAAAACACTTTACAGTTTATATCTTGTTCAGGTCACTGTCTGACACTAAACCACAAAGCAGAGAATAATCGTATCTTAGTCAAAACAAGGTTGGCTGAAACATTCATTACCAAATCTTATAAATTTAACTGAATCCCTGATTTAAGAAAACTGTCACTCACTTGAACCAAAGAAAACGATTATTCAGAGTACAATCTGCATGCTTTGAAAAGATCACTCAAAAGTACTGCCAACATAATTATTACACCATTACAAGTAGTTTTTGTCCCAAAATATTTCACCAAGAAACGATATTCCTGTTCAGTACAAAGAGACAGGCAACAATCACTGCAAAGCAGTCAGTGTGTCCTTTTGTTGATGAATTACTAGATGGCTCTGAAGTAATTGTTGAGAGATGAAACCAGCATCACAGAATTTGCAAACAAATGGCCTAGCTTGAGCATGGGACAGGAGATGCTGAAACAGAATTACATGCAAATTAGGCAAGGTACTGTACTGATTATCAGCTGCCATTGCCATTATTATTATTACTGTAGCCTTCTCTCTTCAAGAGAACACTTCTGAACATACTGTTATGACATTATAACGCAGTGAAAGCATATACATATGTACTTTTTTTGTCATAATCACCTTGCATATTAAGGCATCTCCCACTGTATCATGAGATTATCTATCTCCTTGCAGTAAAAGTCTGGGCTCAACCCCAATATCAAATGGTTTACTTCAAGTAGAACATTTGTGTTCTGGTCAAAGTGCCCCCCTGACTTTCATTTGTTTGGACTATTAAAGAAGCACCTTTTTGAAAGCACTTTGATACAGAATCAGACATTCAGCTTCAAGTGTGTTGCATTGGCTGCTGGGGTTAAGTGCAGACATTTATGACAAGAAGATGCATAATCTCACTTAATGGTCAGACAAATGCCTTATGAGGCAAGGTAATTATGTTATAAATCATCATCATCATCATCATCATGTTATAAATATACATCTTGATTACCACATAATGTGGTGATGGTATAATTAGACAACCCATAAAATTGATGTTAGCTTACCCTTTGGATCTCCCTTGTATGAGGATGAGGTTTACAATAGATGTGATGCTCTAAAGCAATACACAGGCCATGAAGATTAAAATGAAGCTGTAACTCAACTTGGAAACCAACCTCTCTTCAATCCCTGCAGCCTCCCTAAGTGACTGAGGCACTTGTGCATAGTGAATATCTAATTTTCATAATACATGTTGAATGGAAATGAGGTAAAATTCTCTTTAGTGAATACAAAATTATGTAAACAAGGAGTTTGGTACATTTACAAAAAAGAATGTACCCAAAAATATGTTAATGGAGGACAAACCAACAATCTGAGTTCTCATTTCTGATCTACGAAAATAATGTAAACCTATCCCTGTAACAGGCCATGGAGGCCCATAGGGCTGTGAGACATCAAGGCCCCCACATTTTCTAGACAGTCAGCTCACAGGTGGTGGTGAGGTTGTCAACCTTATGCACCAGCCACCTTTCACCCCCAGGAAGATTCCTGGTACTCATTTCTGTTAGAGGCCGAGTGAAACCCCGTGTCATGGTGCAGATGGATGCATCAGGTCAATTGAAAAATCCAGTGACCTCAACAGGATTCAAACCCATGACCTTCCAGCTTGCAGTACAGTACCTCAAACAACTACGCTACTCCTTGCCCCCTTCTAGGAAGATTGTTGAACTAATTCCATAGACCAGTATTCTGCCCGAGAAGCTGTTAGCAGCTCCATAGGTAAAGAAAATACCTGCCTTCTATGGAACCCAAATGTTCATTACCATGTTGACAAGAGTCTGCCACTGTTTCTCTCCTGAGCCAGTAGAATCCAGTCTTCACTCCCATAACCTCTTTAAGAGCATTTACACCCAGGTCTCTTCTCTTTGGGATTTTTGACTACATTTCTGTGTGCATTTTTCATGTCCCCGTGTGTGCTACATGTCCCACCCATCTTATCATTTTTTTATTTAGATATTCTGTACACATATTAAGCTTCTTATTATGCAGTTTTCTCCATCCTTCTGTTATTTCCGGCCAGATATTTATTTTCTCCAGCATCCTCCTCTCAAAACACCCTCAATCTTCACTTAAGGTCAGGGACCAGGTTTCACATTCATATCGAATAAGTAAAATTATGGTTTCATACATTTTATATTTGGGACTTTAGAAAGGAGATAGCAAGATGAAATATTGCGCAAGGTATTAAAATTACAAATGTGATCTGATTTTATTATGTTTTAAATTCTTGGCCCAAAGACTGTGAAAAAATAATTCTGAATGAAGAATACTGCCTTCTGCCGAATGGGCTTGTGTAGCGGCAATGCTCTAGACTTGTATTCAGAAGTGCTTGGTTTGAATATCAGCCAGCACGCTCATGTAAATCTGGACTTCGACTGAAACACGTGTCAGAATACTGGATGTTTTACTTACCATCTGAATCGAACTGTCTTTAACATTACTCTCAATAGCTGAAGAATTTGCAGAACGGAAAAGAGAAACATTCTGCTCAACAACCAGAGGAAGGGCTCTACAGATATTCTTATGCATTCACTACAGTTGAATTAACAAATTTCTAGCCTCAGTCTAAACATATATCAAAATTTAATAACCAACCAGTTCTCTTCAAACTGCTTGTAAGTGTAAAAGAGCA